CAAGGAAGATTTCACACGGCATGGCTCAGACAGTAATAAATGCTGTAATATTCTACCCTAACTCAGCTAACTGCCTTTTATTTTTTTTCTCCCTGAGCATTATAAATGGTTCACTAAGTTTGTAAGACACATTAACCATCAACTCCCCAACCTCCCACCACCACATAAATCCCACCCTGGAGAACAAGCTGTGTCTCAAAAATCTCAGGTCAAGCGTTCCTGACATTTTACGAGATGTCAGTACCATGTGTGTCAAATTCAGTCCTCGATTACCTCCAGTTTAGAGACACTCATGTTTCCATCAAAGGATCTGATACTCCTTGATTTAACGGCTAGGGCAGTTAAGTTTTTATTGCTGTATAGATGTCCTTTCAGCTACAGTTCTGTGAAACAGCCACAGTTCAGTTCCATCTTCTCCAATACCGGGAAAATAAAGTGGCCAACAGCAGCTTAATGTCAATGGTCTTGTGGAGCTCAGTGTGCTGCTTGACCTCCTGGTCCATGAGGACCAATATGCAGAAGAGCTCCCTTCCAAGAGAAAGCAGAACAGGAGCTTACAAAAACACCACGGGATTCAGAAAACAGGGAGTGCTTCCCTCTGGTTTGATTCTCTTTCCCTTGCAAGACTACTCCCTGTAGAGATAAAATGAAGGAGGGATGCACAAACAAAAAAATCAAACCTGAATCAAAGATATACCCAACAAATACATCAATTGTGCGGAGGAAAGATTTTGAGCAGGACCTCTCAGGTGTAAGTAAGCACAGGTCTCTGGAGCTGGACTGCTCAGCTGTGGATGGATTTGCTCAAGCAGGAGGTCCTGTCCTTTGGGTGCATACACCCTTAACTGATTGTTTTAGTAACCATGCTAAAATGTAAACCTGAACAATTGCTGCTTGTGTCCATACTACATGGAGCTAGGGTCTTCTTGCTATTTTGAAGTTAAATATAAAACTCTTTATGAATTCTAGAAAAAAAAATCATTTAATTACACTGTTTATGCATAGATGCACCATGTATTTATAGCCTTAGACATATTCCAAAAGCAAAGCTGAGGCAAGGTTTTGTTTAACATATCTATAGACATATTTGGCAGTGAATCGTTATATAAATGATTTTTCTTTTGAAATGGCAGTGGTGCTCTGAAACAGTAAATAATAAACAACACTAAACAATACATTTGTGAAGAAATGTTTGTATTCTCATCATGAATACCTACCTCTTAGCTTTGAGACTATAAGCCCAGGCTTTTCCTGGACTTCATGGCCACTGAATTAGCAAAAGCTTCTGAGCAGATAGAGAATTAAGTGCCATCAGATAAGGCACGAGGAGATGGGAACTCCGTGGCTGAGTCCTCCAAGATAAAGTGCTTGCCCCTGAGAACTTAGAAGCTGAAGGAAAACCTTCCCCCTGTCCTGTAAACAGTGCCTTTGTGTCTACCACATGCATAATTGATTGCAAGCAAAGCATGCATGCCAAACTCAAAGCTGCTTCATACACACAACCACATTAGAGGAGTTGTAGGCCATGGAAAGACCAGAGCTGATTTAAGCATCAATTATGGATGAGACACTTACTCAGTATAAATAAACTTGCTGGTTCTCCACTGTACACAGAAGCCTCTAAATAAAATAACTGATTATTCAGAGGCAGGATTCTTGCAGTTTGTCCCAAGGACATATTTTCTGTTTGAGTACATGCACACACACATGCAACCATGAACACACACTTGGTGAAACTTCCAAACCTCAACAAAACAGAAAGCACACCTTGATCTATTGATAGACTCCTCTGTCTTAATGAGCTCTAATCCAAGAAAGCAGTTTACCTGGGTTGCCTCTGAAGCCACCTGCCATATTTGCAGTCCTGGATGTTCAACTAAATGCCACCACCTGGAAGTGGAATTGTCCCTTGAATGTAACTATTCCACTAATTTGTTCAACTTCAGGGCATATCCACACACACACACACATAGAAGCACACACAAGTGTATATAAATATATAGCTTTGAAGGTGACCTATTTTCCAGCTGCAAAATGCTGTCGCTATCGGAGGTTTTTGCCAGCTAGGAAAGGATATGAACTGGAGAGGTGCAGAGCAAACTGCAGTGTCTGCATTATTCAGAGGCTCAGCATGCCAGGTTCACAGGTGTTCAAACTACCCAGGAACCATTTGGCCCAGTGTTACGGAAAACATGATTTTGAAGATTGAAATCAGCCAGCAAGAAAAGGTGTTTAACCAACTAGCTACTGCAGGACAATGCAAAAAGTCAAGGTTTTCTTTACATTTCTTTTTATTGTTTGTGTTATTCCCCTCCCAGTACCTGCAGTAATGCTTGCCTGACATCCTTGGGAACTGCTGGCAGTGGAAGACTTTATGAGCTAGAAAATTCCCAAACTATCTATAGGAAATACTATTCACAGTTGCAACATTTCAGGCAGAAAAGAACTTGCAGGAGGGAAAAGTACTGAAAGTCATGTTCTAAGTCAGGACTGACTCTCCAAATAGAGACACCATGTATATAAAACAATACAGTACATTTGGCCTGTGACTGCTTTGGCAAAGCTGCACATACAACTCTTGCTGGGGAAGGAGGGCATGAGAAAAAGGGGAAAGGGATCTTGCTCCTTTCCAATGTCCTGTCTGAAAACTGTGGATCAAATTGGTGGAGTAGCAGCATCTGCCCAAAGCATGATTTCTACTATATGTGCATGCTGGTCTGGGATTAGGGGAAGAGCAGAATTATTCTTCAGCAGAAACTGAAGCCCACAGAGTATCAGCCTTCAACAGAATCACACCTGCACCTGGGTGGCCAGAGAACATGCAGGTACAAAGCAACATTTCTTCCCTAAATATGTGAGTACTGTCTGACCTGCCCTGTAGGTACCAGGACTATTCAAGCCCAGTGCATTTTGTCTTTGTTGGCATCTCCCAGCAGCTCAAAATAAAGCAAGTAGCTATCTTGAGATAGAAGTCACAGCCACCATGCAAAACTGCACTGAGCTACCTTTTTCTGCCCTTACAAGTTTATGACTGTTTAGCAGAGAGTGAAATATTATTTCTAATACCTTCCTGAATACGCAGCGATATAATATCTAAATTTAATATCTAAAATAAAATAAAAAATATCTCTTTTTTCTGTCTGTTCCTTCAGTTCTAACTCACTGCTAAATATACACCCAGAAGTACAGGACAAAAGGGTATAAAACTGCCTCACTGACTCTGAATTCAAAATCCAATTTCTAAAGGAACTGAGGACCTGACTGCCAAAGAAACTTAGGTACCTGGCGATGCAGTTAAGAATATTCCAAACATTCAGACATGGTCAAGTCTTTCAATCCGCTGATTTAAAAAGACTTCAGGCTCCTGAATCACATCTGAGTACTGCAAGTCTCTTTCTCCATTACTTCGACATTGCAAAATATGACCATATATTTTTGCCCACATTTCCTACTTTGCAGAAACCAAATTATTTTCTTTTCTCTAAATATATATTTATAAATACACATGCACACACTGTAGCTCTGCTCTAATTGGTATTTGCAATGTAAGCACTGGCCTTTTCCTTCCTTTTCGTCAATGAAAGTAAACATGATCAAAGCCTGCCAGTATTTAATGGTGAAAATGTACCGTGTCTCTACAGTCTTAATGTTGTTGGAATGGACTTGAGGATAGGTTTACAACAAAAATAATTTTAAAAGGATTTCATAACCAATTCAGAAGGGGGGGAGCCATATTTAGCTTCACTTTCTTAGCATTTTTATTTTGTCTAAGGGAAAAAGGAATAAACAAAGATGTTTAAAAATGACCTAGTGAGGGGCAAATAAACGCATAGAGACTTTATCCAGCACTTCTAAGGATCTTGGAAGTGCTACAACTACACTGTAGTTTCTTTGTTACAGCTCTGTATACATTTATACAAAAGAAAGATGAAAGGGGGGAGAGAGCGGTTGATATGGGTTGTGAGAAGTTGGTGGAATTAGATGGCAAGGGGTCAGGTTACAGACAATGTAAGCTAAAATGCATCAAAGGATATGAAGCAAAGGACTAGATCAAAGTCTAAGAAGCCAAGTACAAGAATAAAAGAGTGATAATTGTAGGCAGCGAGAGAAAGCACTGGAATAGAAATGTGATAACAGTATGACCTCATGACTCAGTCTTTTTCTTTTTCCAAGTCAGTTTCCCCGCACGGGGCACGCAGGCTGGAGAGGGCAGGAGTGCTTGTAGCAGGAGGGAGCGGTGAGGGGAGAAGGCAAATGAATTCTGGGGCTGATAACCTTCCTGGGCTTTAGGGGGAAAAGTCACTTTGCTGTTTGCAACGTGTTTCATTCATAAGTTCTCCATACAATCACAGGACTGTCCTCATAGGCACTGGTGTGAAACAGGGAGCATAAAGCTGAAGATCAGATCCTGCCCTCCTGCAGCCTAGCAGAACATAGCAGACACCAGTGGGAGTGGGTCTGTCTTATAAGTCACAGTTGGGGTCTATATTAGAAAAATCATTGGGCACTGATGCCTCTCTCTCCTGTGGCTAAGACATCCTGGCTGGGAAAGCTGTCATCCAGAGAGCTCCTGAACCATACTCATCTTCAGCTGTAGGTTTGTTCCGAGGAAGACATTTACATTAGATACTTGCTTTGATAGGAACTAAATGCATTCTATTGCCAAAAGAAAATTCCACTTAATATCTAATGAGGTCCCTCAGTCCCCACCATCATACAGCATTGAGTGCAAGTCCCTATACACCCAAAACAGTCTAGCAGACCAGGGGATATCTAACCCTGGCTAGCTGGACCTATGATACAGGGTCTTCTCAGCTCTCATCAAGTCCCAGTAGGAGTCAATGGCATCACTTCAGTTAACTGTATCAAGGCTACAGTTTTTTCCATGATCTCTGAAATTATATATTTCCCCACTCAAATCGGTTTTAGTTTGAGACACAGCAGTGGACATCATCACCCATCATGACCAGCCCATACTGACATATTTCTTGGTGTCTTACCTGGCTGCAGAGGGTAAAAGCTCCTCTTGTCAACTGGTTGCTGCACTTTGCTCCATGCTTGACCTATGGGAATGGGTAACAAATGAGAACAGTCATTGCAGGCAAGTCTCCTTCCACTGACCACAGGGCTGAATTGGTGCCGAGACCTTAACCTGCTCCAACGGCTTTGGAAAAATCAGTTGATGCCAACAAATAGCAGCTTCCCTATTGCCTCCTTTAGCAATGCTGACACCTATTTCTGTTTTATCTGAAAGTCAAAAGAAGCACCACTCTCTTGCCACCCTCCTTCTGCATGCAGGCTGCTTTCCCTTCTCCAGTAAAGCCTCAGGACATGTGTCTTTTCTTAAGTAGATGAGCAAATCACTCCCTCAGAGCTCCATTTTTTGCTCGAGATGTGGGCACCATTTATGTCTTCAGCTCCCTCCTTCCAATGCAGCCCACTCAGAGTCATTTGGCAATATACTTGTTTATTTTTCCAACGTAGTAGTAGAGCTCAGTCTCAGTATTTCAGCTTCTCTGGCTCCCTACAGGCTTTGGTGTACCAGTTGATAGGTGATGCTCCTGAAGAGCAGGTGATATTTGGAGCCTGGTTTTGCCATCATCTGACCCCAGCACACCTGTGGAGGGGTAGCATCAGGCAGAAGCAGAGAACTCCAGTGGGCCAGAGCTGCTGACTAGTAACCATGGCTGAATGCCAAGTTCCCTTACAGGTACACTGACATGGACCAGAGGTAGCTGTGAAGTGTGGGGCACTATGTGTTGCTCTCTGCCCTCACTAAACCCTCCTGCCCTATGCTGATAAACAGTTCAGGAAACAATGCCAGGGCTGATCATGGTTCAGTCATGTCAGGCCTCACACAACTGATATGAGTCATGGAAGATAGAGAGTAAACATGCAGGATCTTTTGCTTTCAAACTTGCTTAATCCCATCAACTGTTCAAAATTTAATATAGAGAAGCTGCAATTGCAAGGTCTAAAATGTCTTCTAGAGCTTGAAAGAGACACTGGCCACTGCTCTACACACTCTTCGGTAGCCACATTGGCATTACCAAGACCCAAATCCACCAAAGATTCATCCTGTTGTGCCCTGTGAAGACTTGGGACCATGGAAGAGCCTGGAGGAAGCCACATGGAGGGCAGAAGGAAGTGAGTCCTGCACAGTAATATGGAAAATTGGCTTGCACATCAGTAGAGAACAAGCCAGCAGAAAGAAGAGTAAACCCCATTTATGTTATTTTTTGTTTAGTTGAATTTGTGCTGTGATTCTGACTTTTATAGGTGTATTAGAAACAAAAATCTTCTATCCCAACAGTCTTCATAAACCATTGTCTTCATAATGTGTACGTGCCAATTCCCAGATCCAAAGGGTGTAGAAGGATTAAGGAATAGTGGTTCAGGGATATTTAAAGAAATCTGAAAGTATACACAAGAAGCTTGCCTGAAAGGTTGCATTTTATTAGGTAGTTATTTGTTTTTAGACACCTGTAGAGGCCCTGTACCCGAAATTGATGTCATACAGTGTCTTGTGGTTGTCTACCCCGGAAATGTGGGTAAAAGAAACTTCCCTAAAACCAGTTCCTGTTTTTCTTTTCCATTTCCATTCTTTTTAGGGTTCTGTAAAACATGTGACTTGCAATGACTCACATCTTGATGAAACAGCAAATTCAGACAGGAATTTTCCAGAGTGCTGTTAATTTCAGTGTTGCTCGGCTTGGATTTGACCATATCAATTACATTCTAAAATATCAATAGTCATCGATCCCTGACCCTGGAAGACAATAAAGGAGCACAAGATGACACAGTAACTACTGTGCAACTGCCACCCTATATCTGGCCAAGGGACATAACACACAAAGACATTGACACTCCTCATTATTAAAAAAGATAAAGCAAGCAAGGCTCACAGCTGTAAGAGCTGGGTCAAAAGGACAAGGAAACCTTATGGTCTTTCACGCAAGAACCATGGGCTTTCCAAGGAAGCAGAAGGTGAAGATCCCTCTGACTTAAACCAGACTGGCCAGTTTCCTCAACCAGAAAGCCCCTGTATTTTGTTGCATCCACAGTTTTGAAATTAATCTGGAAATTTTGTATTCCCTATCTGGGAGTACAAATGAATCTGGAAATTTTGTTTTCCATTGACACATTTGGCCTTGTGTAAGAAACTGTAAGAGACAGCTTAAGTGTTTCTTACTCAAGGGTGCAAAGGGAGAAAAGCAGTCAATAATAGGTGTTGGGTGTGCACACAAGTGTGAAGCATTTGCAAGGTCTTCCAAAGGCACCAAAAAGAAAAAATGCCTTATATATAAATCACATCAAATGTTGTCTCTTTAGAGAGTAATAAAAAAAAAAAAAGTTCTAATTTTGCTTTCTTTAGGTTTCCTAAACAAGAGTGTCTAAAAAAATGAGGTAGTTTGGCCAAAGTCTTCAAATCTCTGTTGAGAGAAAAACATCAGGTAGCTATGATCAGTCTAGGAAGTCAGATAAGAAAGATAGTAAGGGAACAGGTTTCCTTGACTGAAGTAGAGACGGAGGGATGAACATTTCCTTAGATTCCTTTTTGTCAAATCTGATGTATTTTTTAATGTATAATTTCAGTGATTTAAGTAATATTTTAATTTTAAATTCTTTCACTGTCTGTTTCATTTGGATTATTTGACACAGTAGTTAGAAAGCAGAACCATGTTTACCTGGCTTTGGGGTTAATGCTGTCCTCTCAGCACCAAACCTCTTAAGGTCAGAGCTGCATACAGCATCCTCCCAGGCATGTTGACAGTCCCACACAGCTTTTAGGCAGCTCAGCAATAAAATATTATCTTATCTGGCAAGGTCCCCATGCCTCAAAATATTCTAAACCCTTTTGAAAGAAGATATTTCATTCAAATGACAAAAAGCAACAAAACTGGCACTCTCCCCTGCAATGCCACTGGGTTAGAGATAATTCAGGATCATGGAGAAAATTTGATAACAAAACCAGAGAAGACACAGATGTTTTGTGCCTGATACCTTAACCCCATTTACCTCTCTGTTAAAGGACGTTACTGCTCCCTTTAAATGGACAACTCCCTTTAAACAACAACATCTTTTTAATTCTTATACAACTGTTTTAGTCCAGAAGATCTGCAATCTGCAGGTAGTTCAGATTTTCAACTGCAAGAAGTAAGCATCATTAGAAGACAAATTGGGATCTTCTATGACCCCATAAGTTGTAAATGGCACCCATGGATATTTAACTTCTGCTCTTCCATGAAGAATTCAGTTATTAATAAAGCCCATGACTTTTAAGGGGAGCTGCCACTTTCTCAGCAAAATATTCTAGAAACTGCATGCGCTGAAGAGTTTCTAAAACATACTCCTCAAGCAGGTTGAAGCTTTTTCCAATGCTTCCATTACTTTAAAACCCTTATTCAGCATGCCTTTCTGTGTGGCTGCAGGTTAAACAAAATGCACAGGTGAAAAGTGTGACGTGCTCCCATAGATGTCTATTTGGAAATAAAATGTCTCTTTCTCTTGTCTACACAAGTGTCTGCAGTCTGCATTCCCAAGGATCGAAACTAATTTTGGGGTTGATCCATGTTGACTAACCAGCTGAATCCACAGTGACAGAAGGTGCCCAAACACATTCTAAACTCTGTGAAATTACTGGCTTGATTCAGATAGAAAGAAAAATAATAATAAGGACATATAGAGTGAATCTTCAATCTCTCTTCACCCATTCCCAGGAGCTCTCTTTAGAAACTGCTTAGCTCTGATGTGTTTGGAGAAGACACTGAGCAACAGGGAGCAGTGAGCTGCTTGTAGGACCAAGCCAGGGAGGGCACCTTCTGTGATGACACTCCTCCAGACCCCCTGCAATGAGGCTGGCAGGATGTGAGTGGATGAGCCAAAAATGCTTCCTGGGAAGTCTTGGGAGGAGGGATATGAACAAACTCCTAGCAGCCCCAGACATCCACCAGCAACACCTTGGGGGCTGTGACCCAAAGATTTATAACCTTTCTTTTTACACATTCTTCTCTTCTGATTCATCTACTGCAGTGACATATACTTTGTGCTTGGAGACACTCTCCCTTCCCCACCAGCAGCTGTGTTTTCATCACACACCCCGTAAAGCTTTTCAGATGCTGTTCTTGTTTCAGGGTCTTCTCTCTCCCCAGTCACTCCACTTTGCACCTGAGCATCCCCTTCAGCTAGGAACCCCCTCACAATTAGGAGACCCTCACTGGGAAATAGCAATCACAAACTTTGCAGATTGATTCAAGCTATTCTTCACCTCCTTGTTCTCCTTTTCCCTTTACTTTTCAGTTCTGGGGAGATTCATGCCCTTGCAGGTTTGTTTACTTTCATACATCAAGAATGGATCTCCCACTCGGGCTGCATTAATGGCTCATCCTTGTAACACTGAATTTTAGACCAGAGTTTAGACCAAGGTCACGATTTTTACCTTTTTGCAAAATGGTAGAAAGCACAGATTTCATAATGGGTTGTGACTATGAGTTAAGTTCAGTATAGCTGGCAGCTTCTCTTAGGCAGATCTGCAGCAGAACTGACCTCATTGACTGAATGAATCACTTGTCCCCCAGGGGCAGGAATGTTTCTTCCAGGACAGGATTGGAGCTGCTTTCTCACAAAAGCACTATCAGTCCCAAACAGGGAGTTGGAAGCTGCCTGAGCCACACACCTGTCTTGTAGATAGCTCCTAGGCCTGCCAGGCATTTACCATTCAAAAAATATACATTCTTCATCAACTTGAGCTGAACTTTGGCAAAGGGCGTAGGAGGGGGGAAAGGAGAGGAAGGGAGGAGGGGAGGGACCCAAAGAGTTTAAATGGAAGTTTTTGTTAAAACCCTTGACAGAAATATATATCCAAGTCTGTCCATTTTTGCTCTAGCGCATTTGTTAAATGTGCCATGGCTAGAATTGTTACCCCATACCAGTTTTCCAATGATTGGTTTCAAAAATAATAATTGGTTTCTTTTAACAAGATTATCCCAGCAGCTTCAAGTGGAAGAAGTAAAAAGTACCCTGGAGGGAGAAGAACGTGAAATGAATCAGTCTGGTCCCAAAAGCTGGTAGTCTTCATCCTGCCCCAAATTGTCCCATAAGTGTCACAGAGAAGAACTTGTTTCCACTTGGTTTGTGATGGGACATGTGCCATCATTGTCCCAGAAGCATTTGCCCACATCAGGTAAGGAGTAATCAGGGAGTGAGCTGGACATTTAGACCATGCATGAGAGTCCAATATTCAGACTTTTGGGGTTGTGACAAGCTCCCCAAATGGGCACTGGACACATCAGAGCAGACACATGGTGGGGCCCTTGGTCTGTGCTGATCACCAGAGTATCACTGCAGCTAGGGGTAGTTGAGGAGCCTGGAAAGATGAGAGCTCAGGACAGCTTGATATATACCGGTACTTCAGCATGTTTTCAGCTGCAGACGTACAAAGGAACTCTTCACATGCTCCTAGCTAGAAATTTGCTTTATTTAGGTATTTATGGTTTGAGGCAATCCCAAACTCCAATGCAAGCAGGGCAGAGAATGGATTGAGAGCAGCCCTGAGGAGAAGGACTTAGGAGTGTTGGTTGATGAGAAGCTCAACATGAGCT